CACAGAGTACCTATATCTACACTATGTGTATGTGTATTGTATTATGCATGCATGTGTCACAAGTACATGGTGTGGTACATGCACACATTTATCACTGTGTTGTATGTAACACATTGTATTGCATATAGGAGTATACTTTTTGCTTATTTCTTTTGGTGCCTGACAAGTCTTGTCCAGTTATTTTCAGTTTACAAAAGAGAATACCACGGTACTAAGAGATGAAGGCATACTGTACTATCATCTCAGTGTATGACCAGTCGGGTCCGGAATATATTATTTTCGTCTTCCTGCTCCTCTCTCCTCTCTATCCTAGAGTCTAACCTAAGGCCATGTGTGTGTGCTGTGCAAGGACTCTGCCACTGAGATGCATCTCCAACATCATTTCCTTAGGCTTTGTATCATGTTATCTTGCTTCAGCATAGATGTTTCTGTTTGCGTACTGCTGAAGCAGGGTTAGTTCACAAAAGGCATTCTTTTTCTTCTTTCCTCTCTTGTAAAACCAATTTAGGCTATGGCAAAGTTGTCCCCCACCCCCACCCCTAACTTCAAGGCTTGGCCTTTACTTATATTTCAGCACAATAATGGCAGAGCAATATACCTTTGCTGGTTGCAGCATCATTGTGCTCTGAAGGACTAGGTCATCTCTTGTGAGGATGCTTGAGACTGTAAAGGTCAGCAATGGAGGAAATAACAGTGTGAACATATATGTAACGACAGTTGAGGTGATGGTGGCACATCATCATTCAGCTTTATAGCAGTGCTGGCCTTTGTCAATTTTCCTAAGGGGTGGGGGGAATCACAAGGCAGCAGGAACAGAGAGCCAAACTGAACAAAAGTAGAAGCAGGTTAAGACCTCTATGTGAACTGAAGAGACTGGGTTGTTTTGCCTACAAGTGTTGTTCTTCCCCTTGTGCCACTTTGTCCCCCACCTCCCACCTGCCCACTTTCCCCAGATGGAAATTGTCCTGATTCTTTAATATCTTAGTTTCCCAATTCCAACTCATGCAAGCAACCTCAGGAATTAGACCTGCATGCAATTCTGGTTTGTGTTAAGGTGCTTCATTAGCTGTGAAACAGCAGAAGGCATTTTCACTGTTTCTATTTTGGACTCATAGGAAAAAATGCAAATGGATCAAAATCTATTTTGCTTAGTGTCAAATGAGCACTCCTCATCCTACCTAAAGATCACTCAGTTCTATAAAGGCTCCTTTGGTCTGTCTTCCCTAATGGGATGTTGAATGGTGTCATAATGCAGACCCTTATCATGGACTAGCATGTGTGACTTGACTTATTTACTAAAGCCCAATGCAATTTTGTTATATGCCATATTCATTCTTTTGTCATAATAGTCAACAGTTAAAAGTCCTGCGTAGGCTGATAGCACATGCTAAAGAATTCCATCGTGCAGATGCCTCCTTATTCTAGTGTGTTCTACACAGAAATGAGTTATGCCTTTGCTCTTCCATTGTTGCTTTATTAATATTGGTAGCCTTTAGTTTTTGTTTGCATTTTTTTCATTACAGGTATAGATTTGTTGCTGTGCTTCAGAGGTTTCCCCCTCTCCAGCGAAAGTATAAGATTTATTAATCTTATTCCTTCTTCTGAAATCCTCATTTTCTGAGGGGTACATGTAGTTTATCTCTGCTTGCTGCAGGTTCCTGGGTTTATTGCTATCATGAGAAGACATTTCAGCTGCTTTGAACAGATTTTGCAGGTTGCTTGACTTTCCTTTTTTCTCAGAATGATTTTACAGAATTAAACAAATATCATAGAATAACTGGGTCAGGGTCATTTTCCATCCTTCCTGGGCCTTCCATTTCGAGGGTGAAGCATTATTTTAAATAATGTATTCCCCAGCTTTCTTCACTATATCATTAGTAGGGCCCCTGTCCTAAAATGCTTTGCTCTGGGCTCCGAGTCTCTGACTTGGACATGTCAGTGGTTTTACACTGATACTAGAGGTATGCATGTCATTGTCGAGGGTAAGATCTTGCATAAGCCATTCGAGCTTCATTCTGAATTTCTTGAAATCTGTGCTCTCTGACAACACTGTTTGGCAGTGTGTCAGTTTTTCATATTTCTTTTAAATTTTAATTATAACCCATCAAGTCTTAAGCAATTACTTCTGGGTTAGAGTCTTGATGAATGTCATAGCAGGGTGTTTTAATTTAATGGATCCAGAAAAACATCTGTTTCTAATATTTTAAAGCCAATTTATATGGAAATTCATTTAATATACAGTCAATACACGGAGACTTGAAAAATCAAAATGGAAAAATCAAACAACTGTGATGTTGTCGGTCTTCCATTAACAAAAGACTTGGCTGCATCTAGGCTCAGCTAGGTGTTACGAGGTGACACCCATCTCCTAGCTTAGAAGAAATAGCAATGTAGTCTTAGAGAAATGAGACCACTAACAGGGCTAGTGTCCTTTAATTACTTAGGTCGGCTGTGTGCAATTTCTGTTCTGGGCCATGGTGACTACAATAATTCAGTGGTAGTCCATATTCTAAAGGGGGAAGGGAGGCTAAACTTCTCTCTGGATGCTTTCTGGAAGTAATAAATCAATGTTAGTCACATGACCATATTTAACATTAAAGGAAATATGAGAGGGAACCATGTTCCCAGCTCAAAACCTAGTAAGATAAAAGAGGAAAAGCTTATACATTGGGAACAATGAACTGTTTCTATTATGCAAGTTTAAGACATAGTTTAACAGGTTGGTCTTTGTATTAAACATCTAGAAATGTTAATTGGTTCTCATAAATAGATAATATAAAGCACTAGCATAGTAGTTGGCTGAGAGTAGATAATTACCAATAACTAATAGCCTTTTTTAATTCTAAATTCCACATTTACCTGATTTCAGAATTCATTTGTCTACTAGACTGTATGATGGACTTTATTTTATATATAAAGACTTTACCTAAATCCTTGTGCAATAATAGTAATAGCTAGTAATCTAGAGGTGTCATTTGTACTAGAGTCCCTATGATGGTCATGGGTCTATAAAGCTATGACCTCTGCTTCACTATGTTGAAGATAAATGAACAATTACATGTGTTCTTTAAGTAGTTTCAAGGTAAAAGTATATCATAGAAGCAGAAGCTCAGAGAGGTTTACAGAGGTACCTTCCAGCATTTTGAATGCTGATCAGTAGGGGCCAAGTTTCTAGTTGAGCAACGGTTCTGTTTCTCTATGTTTGATGACATTAGTATGTGGTGTTTTCAGCAACTGGGTCTTACTTACTATCAGGTCTAATCAAGAGCATTGGCAGTAAGTTGCCTGTAATGTTTGGGGGAAGGGGAGAGCTATAAGAACCCTTTGGCCAATGACTCAAAAATATGTAATCCTTTCCTGGTGCTGGGGATTTTACTTGGTAGCACATGATGTCTAGTTGGGCCATTGTAACTCCATTTCAGTTCTTTTATGTGTACACACACACACACACACACAAATAGAGAAGGGGGTTAGGAAGCTTCTACAGTAGTAGGTTTTTTTCTTTTAAAAGCTTTTCAAAAAGCCTTTAGTTTTAGCTACCTCTCCCGATATTGCCTTCTATGTCTTGTTCTCCTGCCCCTCTCCCCTGTTAACCCCCATTCTAATTTCCCTTTATCTCTTTATAACATTGTTCTATTTCCTCTTTCACAAAAGATTCCCTTCTCTTTCCTGGTTGTTTGCCATATACCTACCCTCTGGATATTCTGAATTTTCTTTCAGATAATTGAATAAGTCACACATTTGATTATTTAATAGTCTTGATATTACATTAACAATTTCATCAATGTCATTCTGAACAAGGATTGCTAAAATCTATGACTGATGAGATAATTACACTTTCTCTTAAATAGAGATGTAAGCAAACATAACCATTAGCATTTTCACACTTTTGTACCTACTTTAATGTCTACAGTAATGTATGGGTTACATTTTGGGAATCACAGAATAGTAAAAATAACATAAACCACGATACTCTACTATTCCAAACACATGTGACTTTGAACCAGTGGTTAGTTTATCTTTCTCAGCCATAATTTTCTTATCTGAGAGATGTTGAATGTAAGGTATCAGATAATAGCAAAATTTTGTCAGTGTTGTTTCAAAGTTTAAATGAGAAGATGTAGCCAGGGGGACCAGAGTGTTTGGAAGACAGCAAGTACCCAATAAACAGTAGACCCTTCCTTTATGACATTCACATGGATGTGTGAGGCATATAATCCTGGAAATTATTCATCCCAGAGGATAGTGAAGTGTCATGATTTTTGTAGGTGATAGCAGTGCCTGTGAGAGTATGGATATGGGAAAGGCTGTAGCATAAATAAAGGCCAGCAGATAACACCAGCGGTAGGTTGAGAGCCATCTTTTCTCTATCATCTTTCTTGGCCATAGCTCCTTTGTGGTCTAGAAACCAGCAGCAAGGACACAACTGAATGACCACATCAATGTATCCACCTTCTCCCACTCCTCCTCCATCAGAGCTATCCTTTACCCTGATACTCAGGTGTTGTCCATGTGGGCATGAGAAGCACTGCACTAGGACCTGGTACCTATCTGTTTCTAGGAGGTCCTGATGGTGGATCTAGATGTATCCCAAAGAGGAGAAGCACCCAGGCCATGTGAAAAATCCAGAATCACATGCTGCCATTAGCCAGGAGCCTGAAGGCTGTGTTTTTAACCAGAGTTCCACAAGAATTTCAGATCATTTATTTGGGAGCTGCCACAGGAGGCTGAAAACACTTCTGGAGCCCTTGTAGTCGGTTATTTGTCAAAGGCTGTGCTTATGGTCCTCCAGCTTCCCAGAACAGCAAAGGAGCTCTCACAGTATTCTTAGCAGGCATGAAGGGGATGTTCCGGTTTCAACCTCTGTGTACTGGGAATCCCATCATCAAGTATAATAACACATCTTTGAGGAAGACAGTATCTCATCAGTATCAATTTCCTTTATTTAAAAAAATACATAATTTTTTTACATTTGATTTTTAATATATTTTGTTTTTCAGCCGTGCTATCAAGACTAATCAGGATCTGCTCCCAGAAACCCCATGGACACACATTTTCTACAATGATTTCTGGGGGACTCTTCTAACTCACAGCGGTAGCCACAAGTCCTACCGGCCGCTCTGCACCCTTTCTTTTCGACTGAACCATGCCATCGGGGGACTGAATCCCTGGAGCTACCATCTTGTCAATGTCCTGTTGCACGCGGCTGTCACTGGGCTCTTCACACGCTTCTCCAAGATCCTCCTCGGGGACGGATATTGGACTTTCATGGCCGGCTTGATGTTCGCTTCTCACCCCATTCATACAGAGGCAGTAGCGGGCATCGTGGGGCGTGCAGATGTGGGCGCCAGTCTCTTTTTTCTCCTTTCCTTGCTCTGCTACGTTAAACACTGTTCTACAAGAGGCTACTCGGCCAGAACTTGGGGCTGGTTCCTAGGGACCGGACTATGTGCAGGATGCAGTATGTTGTGGAAGGAACAAGGAGTGACTGTCCTGGCAGTTTCAGCCGTTTATGATGTCTTTGTCTTCCACAGGCTGAAAATGAAGCAGATCTTACCTACCATTTACAAAGTAAGTGATTATTGCCTCTGGAGCTTGGTATTACTGAGTCATCTAGATGCTTGGTCCTTTGCCACCGTTTAAAAAAAGCAGATTTGTTCTTCTTCAAGCAGAATTTAAAATGAGGTCCCTTTGATCTTCCCTTAAATAGAGTTCCCCTTTTGACCTTTCTCCACCAAGTTAGGTTTCCATCGCTGCTTGTTTTATTTCTCAGGTTTCTGAACTTCTTTCCATAATTTCCAAGGTGGTAGGAGAATAATTGTGCCTTGTAAAGGGTATGCATCTTTATTGCTTGCAGCTTACTTTTGTTCAGTGCCAAGTTCAATATAATCCAGTAATTGCCTGTGATGTATATTTGTAAAAATAATGGAGCTGACGATGGAGCTACATGCTGGATTCCATTGAGGGGAAACCCTGTTTTTTTTTTTTTTTTTTTTTTTTTTTTTACATGTTTTTTTTGGTTTTTAAAAACCCTCTTTTTTGGGGGGGCTGGGGGGAGAC